GGTTCCAAGCAGGCTGTGGCCTATAAGAATGGCCCCCACCCACGCTAACAATGTATGGGAACTACTTGGGGTCTTGTAACAGTGCAAACTGATTTAAGATGTTTAGGGTATGGTCTGTGGGCTGCATTTCTAGGAGACTGCCAGGTATTACTGGTCTTCAGACAAGACTCTAATGGGTCAGGACCTAAAACACATCAAGTGAGGAAACAGAACAAGTAACAACAAGGGAATTGTGTCTATCTCATCAGGCCAAGATGAGGACTACTAAGGATTTAAACCAGCAGCTCTCAACCTGTGGCTAGACACCCCTTTGGGGGGGGGGTGTCAAACAACCTTTTCATAGGAGGTACATATCAAATATCCTGCATATCAAATATTTACATTCAATTTATAACAGTAGAAAAAGAACAGTTTTGAAATATGACTAAAATAAGTTTATGGTTGGGGGGTCATCACATGAGGACCTAAAGGGTTGCAGCATTAGGAAGGTTGACAGCCACTGATTTAGAGGACAGTACTACCCAACTGCATGATCATTAGGGTATGATTTGCATTTTAGAGACCACAAAGCTGAGACCAGAGGGAATCAAGCACCCTTGGGAGGGGTAACTTGCTAACAGCTCTGGCACGCTGGCCTCACAGAGTGAGGGTGCGCCAGCAGAAGACAGGGAATACAGAAGGCATTCCTCTGCACAGATGCTATGGAGTCTGGCTTCTTTCCATTCTCCCAAGGAGCTGCTTACCTGCTGCCTAAACTACACTGACTTGCAGCCACTTTATTGGCATCCACTTCCCCACCTGGACTGTGAGGGGGTTGCCCCTGGCAACCCCTGAGGCTGCCTCTGTTTCTGGCATAGGCTTTCACTTTCTGGTTCCCACATAAGCTCACAGTGGGTCACCAGCACTAAGAGTGAGTTTCACACACGTGGCAGTTCACACATGTGGCAGTCGTTACAACTTGGCAGGAACCAAATTCTAGCTGTTCACATCTGGAAATTCATGGAGCTATGGATGGACAGGAATCTATCTCTGTAAAAAGCCCCATGCTCAGGATGACAATGAAGAAACCACAACCATTCCTCAAAGTACAAACATTCCACACCAGTGGGTAACTCACACTCTATGCAGGACACTGACAGCAACGCCCTGGTCTCAATAAGACAACCACACCAGCAGTTCCAGACCCAAGGGAAAGCCATATTCTGCCCGAAGGCTGATATAATTTAACTAGTGAGTTATCACATAAGTGACTCAGAAGGTGTGAGCTTCTTTCTCACCAAAACCCCCAGAATGTAAGCCCTGCATTCCTACAAGGCCCATTCACCATCATCTACCTGGATTCCTGCTCCTACTCAATGCTATCTCTGGGATGACTAGTATTTTGCCATTGTTCTTGATTTAAATGCAAACTTGGCTGGTTACTAGCCACACTGCTTTGAGCAGATATTTCTACTTTCTAAGATTAACTTCTTTAGATGAGGGTGGGGAGTGGTGGCTTGAGTTCTAAGCACTTAACAAACATTGCGTTAGAAGTATATTTACTGAAAGAAAAAATTAACAAATTTGAAACAAGAGGAATAAGAATTTCAAGGCCAAAGCATCACTTAGCAGGTGTGTGTGTGTGTGTGTATGTGTGCAACTTCAAGGCTTTCTAGATACTCTGAAGGCTCTATATACAAGAATTCTAAGGTGAACAAATGATATTTCTGTATCTGATAACCTGCATTTTTCCATGTGGATTGTACATGCTTCCTGTCTCTTGGGTTTTTTGTCACACTCAGTGAATTCTTCTCTGCTTTTACCGCAACTCTAGGTATTCTCTGGCAAACCTCTATCTCCACAAGTATTTACATTACAGTTCTTAACAGTAGTAAAATAACACTTATGAAGTAGCAACAAAATAACTGTATGGTTCGGAAGCCCCACAGCATGAGGAACTGTATCAAACGGTTGCAGCATTAGGAAGACTGACAGCCATTGGCCTAGATGGCTGAGTCCCTTCCTTTCTACCTTGAAATTGCATGTTGCTGGAGCTTGGGACAGCAAGGTGTACAAAACCCAATTATAGAATACATACACTTTAAAATTCCCATAAGTAATTGTTCTCCGTTAGATCAAAGAATCAAAGGTTAGGTACAATACCAATTTTCCACACAAGGCTCCATGATGAAGTCACTGGATTTTGGAAACATTGCAGAAGGCAGAAGGAAGACATTCTAATTACTATAATATTGGACAGATGACAAATCATGATCAACTGGTCTGCCTTTGTCTACTGGCAGACACTGGACTGGACTCAGAGAGGGAGGAGGCCTTGCCCAAGGTGACACAGCCAGCTGACACCAAGACTAGTGATAGTTATATTCTCATTGCTTCCAGCCCACATGATATACTGCTTCAATCCCCAAAGCAATGAGCATCTATTCAGGGAGCAAAGGAAAAAATGCATACATGATTACTGCTTCTACCTCCATTTAATAATAAAAAAAAAGTAGAGGTTGATTAAAATTATTCAAGGCAGACCAAGACAATTTCACAAAACTAAAAATTAACATATCATATGGACAATACAAATAAGTCTATGAGAATTAATTTGGTATTACCCCTCCCCCCATGAGTCACCATGTAGAAAATGGAGAAAGCCAATGATCTACAGGAGGCTGAAAGTCAGCTCTTGCTCTGGTACAGAGACCAGTGATTTGAAAATGATACCTCATGTTCTTTAAGAGTAAACAGGGTGTACAGTTTCAAATCCCATGAAGTGCAGCTTTAAATAGATTTGGTTTGGAAAAAGGACAAGGAACACACCACAGTTGGCGGATCAACATCAAAAACAGAGGAAAAACAATGATTATACTCATTGATATCTGCTGACATGAATACTGTCGAGTCTAATTACGGATTTAAACTGCTATTCTTTATTATTACCACTAATGCTCATTTTTACAACAAGACAGTTTTACATGTGTACATCATGCTCCCAGAGTATTTAGTGCTCCATCTTGCAAAGGTTGAGATAATTATCTTAGTCCCATGAGCTTATAAATCTGGATAGATAAATGACTAACAGAAAGACATGGATGGGTGACAAGCAGAAGCAAGGGTAGTTAAGCACATATGCAGACAAAACAGAGAGACAGATGTACAAAGGTAAAAAGATGATAGGTAGGTAGGTAGGTAGGCAGACAGGCAAGCAGGCAGGCAAGCAGGCAGGCAGGCAGGCAGGTAGATATAGAGGTAGACAAATAAGTAGATAGTGAAGATAGTGAGTATAGGTAGGTAAGTAGAAGAAAATCCCCATTTTAAAGAGCAATTTTTGCAACTTTTCAAGGTTTAATTAAAATATCTCCTTCAGTGTTGACACAGATTTCAATGTGGAGAGTGAATGCAGATACCTAAATAACCTTCAAAGCTTATTCCTTCTACATTTAATAAGTGGAAACTAAGGAATAAAAAGTGAAGAACTAAATGAAGAGCTCTCTCAAGTAGGTTGCTGAAGTAGAAAATTTAGGTACATTCACTTTTTAAATCCCCTTTGGTTTTGGCATTGGGACCTGTCCCAATGGGTCTAATGATTTACCTAGGGTATGTCAGAGGACAGACAGCAATCTCCCTCTTTACAGTGTTGACAGTGGGGAGTTGGCCAGATCCCCTGAAAGTTAGATTAGTACTGACATTAGAGAACAGAGGAAAGGTGATTCTTCCTTTTTAACTCGAAAGTACATGCCATGGAAGCTATCAAAAACTATAACAAGAGATGTCTTCAGGAAGTTCACCGTTATCTACCTGTCTGAGAAAATGATATGTTAGAAACAAGTTTTTGTGTGGTCATTTTATATAACATAGTAGAACTAAAATAAAAAAAAATTCTTGCATATTTTTGTATACCCAGTTCTTGATTACATTTTCTTTTGTAAGAATAAGAAGAAAAAAAAAATCCACAATACTCACAACTGAGTAAATTCTAAAAGTTTCTCAATTCATGTCACCCACCTGTTTCATCTTTACTATATCTGATAAATATTAGCTTTGAAATTACTATTAGCCTAAAACCATAATTTCCATTTGATTCTAAATTGGTAATTCCTGTGATTATGGGGCAGTACCAACCAATTTCAGGTTTGTTATTTTTTTTTTTTTTTAAAGAACTGTGTGAAGTCATGTTTGCAATTCTTCATCACTAAAATAGTATACCAAAGTTTCTAACAAAATGTTCTATGGAACAAATCTTGATAGCAATCTAAATGATGATTCCAAGTCTTTATTCTCTAAGGCCTCAGGTTAGGAACATCATTTTGACGACTTCATCTCCTGGCAAAGAAGCCAAAAAGATCATATTGAACACAGAAACATCACTGGAAGACTCAGATACCAGCAGGCTGGCTCTAACGGAAAATAAAACAGTGGAACTAAATATGTTCCCTTTCTCTTCTAACAGCCTTCATTTTTTTTTCCTTAACCCTATGCTGAGGTTCTCTTTGTCCTTTGCAATGGTCCACCACCAGAGGTGCATTCAAAAGATTACCTCACTCTCTTGTGTTCTCGCTTCACTGCAACCTTTCAATCATTGGTGCAGGGCTAGATGGTTGTCAGGTATATAAAACACCATGACTAACCCCTGGAAGCATTCTTTAGTTCATTCAGAGTCAAACAGTTCTGGCTACATAGTATGGTAAAAATTACACTCAAAGAAGGAAAGCTGAAGAGCCAATGAATGGCATGATAAAACAGTGGAAAAGATATGCTACTGTATAGCAACACTGTAGATTCTCATATGTTCATTAAATGCCAATTTTCCAGATTGTCCAGATGTTTCCCTTAAAAGGAAAAATTAAACCAAAGAGGTATAAAAGGAGGGCAAATTACTATCTTGGATATTTTTCATGATTCTCTTGAACATAAAGTATTTTTGTGTCTTCTATTGGGAATCAACATTAAGCATCATAGGTTCAGGTGCCTATTAACATTATATAATTGTGAAGACTCCAATGTTCCCTTACCTCAAGCAACTTCTGGCTTTTGGAATGGACAATGGACACAGGCTCAGCCAGATGGTATGTCAGTCTGTAAATTAAAGAGGCAGAAGTTACTTGAGGGCACTGAACACCAAACTTACTTTAATCCACCAGTAATAACAATCTTATATCTATGTAGCAGATTATTTTGCAAAACATTTCCACATTCATGATCTCATTTCACCCTACATTTACCTGATGAAGAAACAGGAAGAGACTGTTCTATTCATAAGTGAGAGAGGTAGAACTTCATAGAGGGCAGAGAATGACAAGAGAACTGGGAACTCTTGTGAATTATACAAATTATACAAATATAACATGAAAAGTGGTCAGTCATTAGTCAGAAATAATGACTTGCCCAAGAATATTACAGTACAATAGGTAGCAGAACATGACTTCAAACACAAGAGCTTTGCCACTGCCCTAGTCATCTACATTTTCTGCCTCTGCTCCTCCTGGATCATGAAGGGAAAGAACACAAACAACTCCCTCACCTGATCTTTAAGTCTTGGTAGTGGAGAATAGTAGTGTCAAATAACACTGACTGCCCTGAGGAAGTACAAGAGCACATGGCATTGAGAGCCAGTCAACTGCCTTCCTCTCCCCAGTGCCCTCAGGCAATTCACTCAATGTCCCCATCAACTTCTTCACATGAAAATGAAGATTATCTATAGTACCTAGTCAAAACTGTCTTCAGCTAAAACTCTGGTGGAGCAGGGAGATTTTCCTGCATATCCACAGTGCTCACGTACAAAATAATATTTCTTTTCATAAGCCAAACACACACTACCAGAGCATATTTCAAGATGGCTACTTCTGTGATTTGTGGCCCTAGTTCTAAAATATCATGAAAGTATCTATGTCATTCTTAAGTGGCTTCAACATACTATACACACATACACACACACACACATACACACACACACACACACACACACACACACACATGAATGCATATAAGCATACCCACACACACTCAAGTATCTTCTCAAACCCCAAAACCTAAAGCCAGAGCTTTTAGTGGCAGGGTGGTTCCTGGTTTGCAGCCTTTCCAAATCTGAGCCTACGGCACTGCCTGAGGCTCAGAGATATGGGGCTGCTAGCAGAACTGCTGAACAGAGAAAACTCACTTGAGATTTTATACAGAAACAGATTCACTAAAATGTCCAGTTTTCATAAAGCGCTCAAAGAGAAACATGGCTGGTAAGATTCCCTTCCAGAAACCCATCTTCTACCCCAAAAATCAAACCTTACCATCCTTTAACATCACACTTTATCCCATAGTCTAAGAAACAGTGCATGCTCATTACTGCCTAAAACATCTTCATTATATGCTCAATGAGCCTTTCCTGCCCCAAGTTTACAAATCTAGCAACCTAACTTCAAAGGTCACAAAACTAACACAGAGCAATTGAAAATGTATCCTTAAACCTCATACCAAGCATTTGCCTCTTATAGGAGGAGAGAAGCCTCTTGACTAGAGAGAGAGAGAGGCCTAACTTCAGGAACTGGAAAACAAGAATGAAAAACAAAAATTGCAATTCAGCAAAGAATACAAAATTCAGAAGAAATAAGTATGTCTTGTTTTGTCATACATGCATAATGAAAAACTGATTTTTAGAAAGAATGAAAGGGAGGAAGGGAGGATGAGAAGGAGGGTGAAAGGGACGAAGGGAGAGGCTGGCCTCGAACTCACAGAGAGCTGCCTGCCTCTGCTTCTGCCTCTGCCTCTGGAGTGGTGGGATTAAAGAGAAAGTAATGCATTTTAATGACAGTTAAAAAGATTCAACCTGAGAGAGGGGACACTGATAGAGCAAGGGGTCCAGGAGTAGATGACTTGTGAGTGAACAGGACTAAGTACATCATGTACACTGTGGGAAGTACATGGTGAAAAGCACTCTTGTATACAAATAATATATACTTATCTAAAATGATACAAAAGTATGCTTTAGTTTGGGATTATGCATCACCACCAGGTAAAAGGAGAGAAACAACTTCACAGCTGTGGTCTCATTAGAAGGCAACACATGACTAAGTAAAGCGGAATGTACAGCTCTAGGTTAGCATGAACATTTTCTCAGGACTCCCCAGTGAAGTTTCACAGATGTATCATCCTTGCTCAACGTGTTAAAACACAAGCCACCGAACAGGAGTCTGCAGTACTGGCTTTCATACAGACTTTCAGCAAACACTCTCCTCACAGGGAGTGGAAAAGCTGAAGCCTTTGAATCCTGCAGTTAACCGGCCTGTGCATGTGGTTCCAGGGTTAAGTATCCTCTGCAGATCTCAGGTGTTTCAGAAAGCAATGAAACTCTTCATAACCCATAAGGGGACAGAGCGACTGGCAAATCACGTGACAACCTTTGGCAATAACACCAGATATCCTTGTTACATCTGTGGATTTTAGGTCTGCTGACCTAGAACCCAAAAGGGATGAAACATTTCTCAAACTTGTAATAAGAATAATTTAAAGTAAATGATGCTATGGTGTTAAACGTGGAATTCAGGTTCCAGAAGCAACTAAAATGTTAGATTAGGACAAAGTCACTAGATAACAACTATGGGTGGGCCACAACCCTGACCATCAAAACCCAAGTGATTTTTAACTGCACTATCTCACCCACCATTCTAATATACTTATCAAGAATACAACATGTTCCACAGCTTATAAATGATCTGGTTGTCTCATTAAGGTAATGTTTGTCAGTATTTAATTGCTTCCCTCCCTGATTTTAATTTCCTCACCTGTCAGCATCGATCAGAAACAGTGAAATCATCTGACATACTGGCTGATTATGTTCAAATTAATCAAGTTGGTTTTTTTTTTTTTTTTTTTTTTTTTTTTTTGTAACATTGCTTTGGCCTGCAGGTAACGTGCTTCATAATGTGATATTTAGAAGAGGTCTACAATGGAACATAAATGGAAGAATTTAGGAACCCAAAGGAGAAATACAAGTTATTTTCAACCCACAGCACTGGACATTAAAAGGACTTTAATGTCTTTAAGAAGAAATTTAATGAGCTAGTGTTCTCTGGGCAACAGTGGACAGTTCCTGCCAACAGGCAGGAAGAGGTATGATTATCTCAGAATATTTGAGACATAGGTTAGAAAGGAAAAAATAAAGATGGGCTTGCCTTATAACATAAAATAATCTAAATATAATAACAGAAAATACAAAATGCAATAATCAATAATATGGCTACTAAGGAAGTAACATTTTATACTGACAACTGCTTGATATATGGATCTGGGGGCTGATATTGGTGTTGTTAGTAACTGTAGCAATTTCTGCATAAGAGGTGAAGATGAGGCTGAGAACAACAAAGGAACTCTTTTTTAAATGTGTTCTGCCTACACATATGCCTGTGCACCATGTGTGTGACTGATGTCTGGAAGAGGGTATCAGATCCCCTTGGGAAGTGGAGTTACAGACAGCTATGAACTGCTATGTGGGTGCAGGAAATCTAACCCAGGATCTCTGGACAAGCAGCAAGTGCTGAGCTATCTCTCCAGATCCAGCAAAACAACTAGACACCCAGTGATGGAACAGTCTGGTCTCACGGTCTATGAGAACTGAGCAATTCACTACAATTACTCAGAAGAGAGGAAGAAAAAAACAATGTAGGTCCTCCACACATAATTATTCAGTGCTAATATCTATCAGAAACAGTGTTTAAAATACGCTTAGAAAACCTCAAACACTCAACTCTTTTAGAGGAAATAAATGAAATGACAGGAAAATATTCTGTAAGGCACCCTGGCATGAAATTATGTTAATACACTAATGGAATTCCCACCCAGAAATAGACAAATGAATGACTGCATCCCAAAGTGAGCCCATCATAGTGGTAAACCTGCCCATGAGTCACTCTGCACCCATTTGGAGGGTCCTGGGTTGCGCAGAAGAAAGCCCTACAGTGGGACAGCATGAAGAAATCCGGAACATAACAGAAAAGACAAAAGCAGTGTTTACCTAAGTGAGCGGGAAAAGCTAGTAACAGGGATGCACTGATGGAAATAACCAGGAGGAACTAAGCTGCCCCTTCAAATAAGCCCTGTGTAAACCATCACACATGTCTCCACACATGAACACTAGAACACTAAGACGCAAATAACAGAAAACTCTGTTTCTAAATGCCAAGCCGTCCTCAGGAGAGCACAACTGCTCCTTCCACAGCTTGGATTTATCAAGGAGGGGCCAAATAGCCATCTGTAAGGGAAGTCATGTATAATGTGGCCACAGCAGGGAGTCTGCAGTAAAGGATGGGCAATTGCATTCAGTGTTTCAGAGGCTTAAGCAGCCCAACCTTGGGAGAAAAACAAGACCTCTAGATAAAACTTTGGAACATAGCATCTAAAGAAGAGTCCTGAGTAAGAACTATTCAACATATCCAGGCACTCCTGGGATTGCCCTTCCTTGTTTTAAAAGAGGGAAATGCAGGGTGCTGCCCAACTGCAAAGAGGCAGAACAAGCCAGAGTTCAACCAGCTACCACCAGGCAGTATGGACAAAGTCAGCCACCAAAGGCTCAGGAGTGCAGCTCTAATTCACTAAGGTAGCCTAAAATCCAATCAGATCACACTTCAGGGTGACTGAGAAAGACATTAGGAATCAGGAAGAAATTCCTATTATTTAACTCCAAACATTCACAAGTGGAAGAGAGCAAGAAAATGTTAGAGGAAATGAGAACCTGAGAAAGAACACCCAGTCCCTTCTTAATTAAGACCAAACATTCAAGAAGCAGCAACCTACTTGCATTTACAAAGTTCATCAATGTATGTTACCAGCACAAGCAAGGACCAGTGCCCCCCCCCACCAGGCCCATGCTACCCTAAGTGACATACACGCATATGTGTAGTCACCCGGGTCAACTTCTACCACATTCCCAGTTTTCTGCAGTTTTCCCTTTGAGTTTTCATTAAACAAAACAAATCACAGAAAATAGTAATCGTAGCTAAAAGGGAAAGAAGGAAAAGTTTATAGGCCAACCACCCACAATGGAAATGAAGAGAAGAAGAGGGAAGGGTGGAGTGGACACAGAGGGG